GCGCGAGGGCGCTTCGGCTGTCATCGCCGCCGCCGCCGCCGCCGCCGTCGTCGTCGGATGAGAGCTCAATCGGTACTTCTGGCATATGAAGTGCGCGCGTGCACGGGCGCGCATCGCGATGCGGCTGCCTGAGCCCTGAAGAATTATGCGCGTCCATAGACCATCCGAAGAGGGACACCGTCGAATCAGACCGAGTGATGCCGGTTGGCGGTGGGTTCGGGTTCCCAGGCGTCTCGGGGCATCCAGTGAGTCATCATCACCCATACCGCGTTGGTGTCCAGTCCGAGCCTGGCTGTTCTTCACCTTCCTAACTAACTGGGTGGACGCATAGGACCAGGTAGGGGCGGGCCGCCACCGCTCCGCGTGCAGCGTCCAGCGACGGCTCGAGCCGATAAGGATATAGGGGCCGATTTTTTGCGAGTATTTTGCGAACTACTCGACAGTCCCCCTGAGGCCTGAGGGAGGGTGTAGAGGATGTAGAGTGTAGAGCGCTGTAGAGCTGTAGAGCTGTAGAGCGCTGTAGCGCTGTAGAGCTCTACATCCGCCGCGGGACGAACTGCGTGCGTTGTAGAGCGCTGTAGAGCGCGATTTTGCTGTAGAGTTTGTTGTAGAGGCTCTACAGCCCAACCGCCGGGAAGGCAGTGACTCAAAGAGGTCGAGCCGCACTAATGGGGTGTCTCCGAGCTTACTGGAGCTCTGATGGACGGCCCTGACTATCCCTGACACACAGACAGAGAGTCACTCTGACGGCACACAACACCCTATAACTGCGTCATGACCAGCCTGCCATGTGTCGCCGGTGCCGCATTCGTCGCTGTGCTTCAGGCGGTGGACTGTCGGCTGCGAGGACGGTCGCATTTGCGCGAGGCGAGGCGAGCATTGCTGCGCGTTGCACATGCGCCATGACTCGCGCCAGCGCGGGCAGGCGAGAGGCGACAGAGACGACGGGGTGGCGGACGAGCTGGCGGCGGGTCGGCGGGCGGAGGCGGGAGGCGGGAGGCGAGGGCGAGGGCGGGCAGTAGGGCGCGAAGTTTAGGCCGCTTGACCTTCGACGGGAAGGTTGCCCACAGGAGCAGCAGCAGCAGCAAGAGCAGCAGCAGCAGCAGGTTGAGGTCAAAGAGCAGGAGGATGTTGAAGTCGTAAAATTATTTGGTGAGGTGGTGGCAGCCAAACTGCTGGATCGTGTCTGCACGGCGGAGATTGGGGAGGTGTTGGGAGGTGATGGGAGGTGTTGGGAGGTGTGGGGAGATGTGGGGGAGATGTTGGGGAGATGTTGTGGTGTTGGGAGATGTGGGGGAGATGTGGGGAGGTGTGGGGAGGTGTGGGGAGGTGTGGGGAGGTGTGGGGAGGTGTTGGGAGATGTGGGGGGATGTGGGGAGATGTGGGGAGGTGTTGGGAGGTGTTGGGAGGTGATGGGGGGTGTTGGGAGGTGTGGGGAGATGTGGGGGAGATGTTGGGGAGATGTTGAGGTGTTGGGAGATGTGGGGGAGATGTGGGGGAGGTGTGGGGAGGTGTGGGGAGGTGTGGGGAGGTGTGGGGAGGTGTGGGGAGGTGTGGGGAGGTGTGGGGAGGTGTGGGGAGGTGTGGGGAGGTGTGGGGATGTGGTAGCAGGAGCAGCAACAGCAGCAACAGCACTCTCGAAGTGCGGTGGTGCCAGCCCAAGTAAGAAGTAAGAAGTAAGTAGTGAGTAGTAAGTAGTAAGTAGCTAGAGCAGGTCCCTCGCCAGCCGCCTCTCTCTCACCAGCACCCGGACCCAAAAGATGACGGGTGCCGCGGCGCGGTCGAGATTGTTCCGAGATTGTGTCTGGAGATAACGGGTGCCGCGGAACGCGCGAGATTGTGCCAAAAGATGACGGAACAAGACACGAAGGGAATGCCGGCCTTAGACCTGGGAGGAGCTACCTACATACCTACCTACTTACCTACCTACCCACCTACCCACCTACCCACCCTTCCTACCTACCTACCTACCTACCCTGCCCTACCCTACCCTACCCTACCCTACCCTACCCTACCCCACCCTACCCTACCCTACCCTACCCTACCCCACCCTACCCTGCCCTACCCTACCCTACCTGCCTGCCTGCCTGCCTGCCTACCTGCCTGCCTGCCTGCCTGCCTGCCTGCCTGCCTGCCTACCTGCCTGCCTGCCTGCCTGCCTGCCCGCCCGTACGCGCCGGCCCCGCCGATACCTGCTTGCGAGGCGGTGCTTGCCGCTCATCCTACATCCAAGACAGCATGCTCAGCGAGAGCATGTGCTCAGTCCAGGAAATTGGCGTCTGGCCAGACGTGTTGACGGCGGACTACCTGAGCTTAGGGAGGTTTCTATGGAAGAACTGGCCCCGTACATAGGTCGCGCAAACGCTGCACCACCCCGTCCGGCAAGGCCGTCATCACCGCCGCCACCCTTGCCACCCCCTCCCTCTCCGCATCCGCCATCGTCTCCGCATGGGGTCCCCTTCGGATGTATCGTGACATCTGACAACTGAATTTCCACTGGTTCGTCCTCCTCTGAGTCATCTTCCCCGTCCTCCTTCCGCTCGGCCCTTCGCTCGGTACGTTCGGTGTGGCTCACCCTCCATGCCGTGAACAGGCGCTTTATCCACCCTATATTCTTCTCTCGTTCCTCTGCCCGTGCCTTGGTCTTGTCGTTGTTTCGCACCCATGTCTGTATGGCAATCGAGGCTGCCTTCCCCACTACCTGTAGTTCACTCGTCACCTCTCCCGCGAGCTCCCTTCTCTTTCTTTCGGGTATGGAGTCCGTGAGTGCGGGTAGCGTGCAGGCAATCACGGGTGCTATTTTGTCGTACTCCTCTTCGGCGAGCGCCCCAAATCTAGACCCTTTCGCCTTTAAGGAGGCTGCCCTCGCTCGTCTCAGGAATGTGGCGGTGTCTTTTGAGTCCGGCGCCTCCCGTTCAACTCTTGCTGTCGCCCTCGCTGTGTGTTTGTCGAGCTTCCGCATAAAGTGACGCGCCTCTTCCTTATTTCCAGCGCAGCTGCCGCTCAGTATGTGCGCCAACGACGCCTGTGGTGGCTCACTGTCTTCTTGTTTCCAGTCGTCCCAGTCTTTCAGTTCCCCGCGTCTCCTCCTTGCCTCGCGCGCCTCTTTTGCGACCTCATCCCTAGCCGCTTTGCACGCTCTGCATCCCCAGAACGCACTTCTCGTGGCGGGGCCCCTCACTCCCCGTTTCTTTTCCCCCTCTAGAATACGCCTGTGGTGTGCCCCATGTGTCGTGCGAGGAGTTCCTGTTAAAATTCTTTTTTTTGCACAACACTGGGCACTGGGCTTGAGGGAGTTTTGTTGTAAAATTCTTTTTTGCCTGTCTGCTGTGGGAGAAATGCGTTTTTAAATTCTTTTTTTGGGGTGCGAAGTGAGTGTGCCTTGTGATGCGGCCGAATGTGTGTGCTTGCGCCACGCTGCTTGCAGCCGCATTCCACCCGTACGTCCGAGCCCCACCGTACGTCCGAGCCCCACGTGGCTGCTCTGCAGCTGAAAGCAGCAGAGCACGCGTCGCAGCCGAAGCCAGCGCGCGCTTCGCACGAAGCGGCGTGCTCAGATTGGCAGAGGCAGCCGCGCCGCCCGACGACGCGGCTCTCAAGCTAGCAGAGGAGCGGGCAACCGTCGCCACCGCCTCGGCTGAAGCGGCAAAGGCAGCACTGGCCGATCTCGTGAGCGCTAGAGCCGCAGCATGGGAGACGCAACGGAAGGCAAACATGAGGGCAACGGCAGAGGCACGCAGTCTGAGGACGGCTCGCAACGCAGAGAGGAGCGCAGTGGCCGCAGAGGCGACCGCCAGAACAACCGCGGCCGCCGCGGTCGAGGCCAGACGCGTGGCCGAGAGCGAGGCAGCGGCTGCCGCGCAGGCCGCCGATGCGGCCGCCGCTCTCGTTGGCGAGGAGGTGGTGGACGCCGGTCTCGCGACCCGACGGGCGGTGGAGATTTGCGCAGCGGCACGGGCGAGGGCAGAGGCCGAGGCCAAGGCGGCGGCGCAGGCAGAGGCGGCGTGGCGGGCGAGCGAGGCGGCCTTGGCCAAGGCGGTGGAAGAGAGCCTCACCGCAGAGCGGGCGAGCGCCGAGGCGGGAAGGTGCAACTGTGCCTGACCCCGCGCCACTCCCAACGCTCTTTCCTTCCGAGCCCTTGCCCTCGCCCTCGCCACCAGGGTGAGATCGGCGGCGCAGACGGAGGCCAGGGCAAAGGCAGCGACGGCGGCGCGAGCGGCTGCGGCGACCCGCGCGGCCGCAGAGGCGTGTGCGGCGGCGGCGGCGCGGGAGGCGGTGGAGGTCGCTGCGGCGGAGGAGGCCAAGGGGGAGGCGGCTGCCAGGGCGACGGCCAGGGCGAGCGCGGAGGCCGAGGTGAGAGAGGCGGAGCGGGCGAGGCGGCTGGCGGAGGACGCGAGGGCGAGGGCGGCGGCGGAGGCTGCGGGCAAGGCTGCGCTGCTGGCTAGCGCGACAGCGGGCGTGGCGACGGCGGCGGAAGCAAAGGCCGCGGCGGCGGCGAGGGGGGCGGCGGAGGTGCGGGTGGCGGAGAAGGCCCTTGCAGCGGCAAAGCGCAAGGCGGCGGAGGAGGAGGCTGCGGCAGAGCGGGCGCAGGTGGCGGCGGAGACGGTGCGGCTCGGTGCGGAGAAGGCTGCAGAGACGGCAAGCGGTGCGGCGGCGAGCGCAGTAAAAGATGCGACAGCTGCGGCGGCGGCACTCGCCGCCGCGGGCACAAAGGCTGCAGCAGAGGCGCGCGCGGCGGACAGCGCAAAGGGAAGCGCCCAGGTGGCGTCTGCGGCGTGTGGGGCGGCTGCGGCGGAGGCGCGCGCGGCAGCAAAGGCGTTGGCGGAGGCGGAGAGGGCGGTGGCGCAAGCCCGCAAGGGTGAGGAGGCGGCGAAGGCGGCGGCGGAGAGGGCGGTCTCGGGGATGGTTGGGGCGGCCGAGGCGGTGGCGGCGGCCGAGGCGAGGGCCTCGCAGGAGGCGGAGGGCAAGCTGAGGGTGGTCTCGCTGGCGCAGCAACGCGCTCGCTCGACGCTCAAGGCGGCGGAGGCGGCGAGGGAGGCGGAGGTGGTCAGGGCAGAGGCGGAGGCGGCAGAGGCGGAGGGCCCGGCTGCCAAGCTCGGCCTCGCCAAGGGCCGGAGGGCGGCGGCGGCGGCGGAGGCGGCAGTGGCGCGGGCGGAGGCGGAGGCGAGGGCGGCTGCAGAGGCGAGGGCGGCGGCGGAGGCGCAGGCTGCTACCAAGGTGCGGCTGGCGGCGGAGGAGAGCGCGGCGACCGAGGCGGAGGCGGCCGAGGCGGCCAAGGCGGCGGCGGAGGCGCTAGAGCTGAGGGAGCGTGCGGCGCGACAGGAGGCCAAGACGGCGGAGGCGGCGAGGGCGGCGGCGGAGGAGGCGGCGGCGGCGGCGGCGGAGCAGTTTGCGCGGGCGAGCATGTCGCCAGAGGAGCGAGCGGCGGAGAGGGCGGAGGAGCGGGCGGTGGAGTCGGAGGCGGAGGCGGCAGAGCTGCAGCGGAGGAAGGAGCGGAGGGCGAGGGAGGAGCTGGCGCGGAGGAAGGAGGAGCGCGCGGCACGCGCCGAGGAGGAGGCGTGGCGTGGCGTCGAGGTGGCTGTGGCAAAAGTGGAGATGGCACCCACGTGTGCCCCATGACGCCTCCTCTCGGTGCGCCCTGCGCAGGACGTGCTCGCCAGGCTGGACGCGGGCGAGACCCTCACGCCTGACGACGAGGCGCGGCTCGAGGCGGCGCGGGCGGCCGTCGACGCTCTCAAGAGTGAGGAGGCGGCCAAGGCGGTCGTCGGTCTGGGCAGGTCGCTGCTGGGCGCTCTCTTCGACTCGGAGGCGTCGCGCGCCAGGCGGAGGGAGGAGGAGAGGCGAGAGCGGGTGCGCCCCCGCCGCCCCGGCCCGCTTGCTCGTGCTCTATCGCCACGCAACCTCTCTTCCCCTGCCCTCAGCCGCCTCTTCTCCCCGCGCCCAGATGAGCCTCTTCGAGGCGGAGCTGGCCGTCCTCGGTGTGGGGGTGGAGGAGGCCGTCGCGATCGACGAGGCAGGGCTGAGGCAGGTCTTCCGTGCGCGATCCCTAGAGCTGCACCCCGACGTGGTGGGTGCAGGAGCGGAGGTGGGGCGGGACGAGGCGGGTGGCGGCGGCGCTGGGGTGCCGACGATTTACGAGCTGAACGAGGCGTACGAGGCGGTCAAGAAGGTCCTTAGCTGAGTGCATGGAACACTGAGAGATGGTTTGTCATTTTCCACAGGAGGGTTACACCCTCCCTCAGCAGTCCCCCTCACGGCTAGGAGCCCGAACCCTGGTCTTCACAGACCTTGTTTGAGAAGAAAGTACCTCTACATACACAGACGATGGTTCCCTTTTTTGCACGCAGCGAGGCCAGAGCGCGACAAGCCGGCCGATTCGAGGCGGGGGACTGGTGCACCAAGCGGGGGAAGTCTTGGGTCCACGCGGTCCCCTTGATGAAGCCGAGCCTGCTCAAGGTCCCCGAGCATGAGTGTCCATACTACTCAACTTTCGTGTTCATTGTTAGGCTGGCGACACCGCACTTGGGCGAGTTGAATCGCACATAGAAGTAGCCGTTGTGAAGCCGACCGGCGCCCCAAGAGTTGCGAACAATCCAGACCGGGCCGCCCACCGCTGAGTCATCGTAACCCACCAGTTGCACATTATGGTTGGGTTCTTTGAATTCGCAGTTGGTGTCTTCAAGAACGCAGTCCTGCGCTGAGGTGCAGGTGTAAGGCAGTTTGAGTATGTTATCCTGTGCCATGGAAAGGATGACAGGCGAGTGCTGGATGGCGCGGCGGAGCTGATTTTCAGAATTGGGGCAGAGTGCCTCAGAAACGGAAGCCGACCACCCACAGGGGGCTGCCGGCACGCCCAGGAAGGAGGAAAATAAACGGCCCGGTCCACCTTCATCTGGTGCCACGGTTACCAGAGTAGTGCCTGGCTCCGGGGTAGCACATCCTGTATTGGAGTTCTCTGGTGGCTCTCGGTTGGTTTCTTCGGACACGAGCCCGCCAAGGTGGCGCATCCATGCCCAGGCCACCGCCGGGTGGGAGCCGGGAAGTTCAGATCCTACCGCTTGGCACGACGAGCTTTCTTCGAAGCACGGGAAGAACCATGGAGGGACGAACGGAAGGTTGGGCAAGGCTGAGGTTGGCGTGCTGCTCGCCAGCGCACACGACCACGCCTGATGCGTGCTCAGATTCGTGAGCCGGCCATACTTGATCGCAGCCAATGATTCCACTTGCTCCGTCGCTGCAACTGCCCAGCACGTCTCCCGGAATTGCTTCTTTACCGCCGTCACTTTCCCCTTGGTTCGCCAGTCAATCGAAGCGGTCTCTGTAGAAAGATCAAAGTCCGCATTGTCGACAAAGACTTGGAGGGCTGCTGCAAAGGCTGGAGCATCGAACCCCGTGGGAGACCGGGCCGCCACGTTTGACGTTCCGCCAAGGATGGCGGTTGCGAACAACGTCTCTCGAGTCGGGGTGGCGTTAGATGCGGTCTCAACAGAGGCCGATGCCCCCAGGCCGAGCATCGTGGGGAGGCATAAGAAGGTCTGCATGAATGACGTCGTTACGTGCACGCAGGAGTCGCACCGGCTCGCACAAATCGTTTCTGTCGGCGTGCACAAATCGCACAACTCAGAGAATGTTACAACAAAACTCCCTCGCACAACACTGGGCACGGGACTGCCCACTGGCTGTGTGTCTTGTGAGCTTGTTTGTGTCTGTGTGTCGCTCGTGCGTGTCGTCATCATCTGTCTTGCGTCCACCCATACCGCGTTGGTGTCCAGTCCGAGCCTGACTGTTCTTCACCTTACTATATACATACATACATACGGGACTGGCGCGCACTGGCACTAACACAGGTACACCACGGGAGCCGCCTAAGCGACTCCTGCGAGGGTGGCGAGGCACTTAGCTCCGTGCACCCGCCCACCCCCGCCACAGGCAAGCTCATTCACGACCTGCTCTGCGATGGCCGTGTGAAGAACGACTGAGATGCGCTGCTTCTGCAGCCCCAGCCAGCCCTTGGTGGTCCAAGTCACCTCATCGAGGTACTGGGCCCGCGTCAGCTTGTTCTGTAGCACGTCCGCCGCTCTCCGGAGGATCTCACGGACCCCCTTTCCGCTTTCCGAACCCGCCGAACGATTCGAACAGCAGCAGCTGCACTTCGACGCCCTTGTCTTCCCGGGCCCGGATTCGCCGACGGCCCCGCTAAATCTCTCTCTTGAGTACATGCCGCATCTCACTTCTCAGACGTTTCACCATAATATCTCTCTCCCTTGCGCGGCGATCTGGACAATGGTACTGCTGTCGCCCCCCTCCCTCCGCGTTGCTTCCCTCGTCGGGAGTGTCCGTCGGGAGGGCGTCGTCCGCCCACTCGGCAGCGTTTGGACTGAGAGTGTGAATGGAGCTTGGAGGGACACGTCTCACGTGCGGTTCAGACGGCCACCACACAGGGATTTTAAGGAGAGGGGTGTGGTGCGCTAGCCGTCGCCCACCCTTGTGGGAGGACGGCACGCCGCCACCACACAGGGATTTTAAGGAGAGGTGTGTGGTTGCCCAGTGTTGTGCGAGCTTGTAATTACCGTGAATTCTTTCTTTCCTGCTGAAGTTTCCCCGCGACTTGTGAAATTCTTTTCCGCCTGTGTCCTTGGGCAAAGTCGATCGCCTTCTCACGATGGGCTGCTTCTCCAGCCGCGTCGAGGCCCCGACCGAGGAGCTGCCCGGCCCTCCCGCCGTCGAACTCGACGCTCCGACGCCCGCCGACACCGCCCCGCCAACGCAGCCGGCGGCCGCCCTCCCCTCCGCCACCGATCTCGGCGTGAGCGAGAAGAAGCTGGAGCTGTGGCGCAAGCGCGGCGGTGGCGACCTCGAGCCGGTCCTCGCGAGCGGCGCCGTCGCCGTCCTCGACGCGCAGTGGGTCATCAGCCACGCCGAGGCGGGCGGCGTCCTCACCCACCGTCAGGCGCTGCCCAAAGAGGCCTTCCTCTCTTTCGCCGACCTCGTCGAGGCGACCGACGAGTATCACCTTCCCGTCGCCGCGCTCTCCTACCCGTGGCTGACCAAGGACCACCCCGACCCGCGCGGAGCCAACCTCGCCCGCGTCGCAAGGGCGCTGAAGGCCCTGCTCACCTCTCCGTCCATCCCGCGGCTCGGCGTCTTTTGGGACTTCGGCTCGCTGCACCAGCACCCCGACCCCCCCAACGGCGTCCTGCGCACCGAGGAGCAGAACGCGCTCTTCAAGCAGGGGCTGAGCTGCCTCGGCACGCTCTACTCCCACGAGCACACTTGCGTGCTGCGGCTGACCTCCTTCCCGGACGGCCACAAGGCGGAGGATCAGACCGAGGGCACCAACGTGGCCAAGTACTTTGACCGCGGCTGGTGCGCCACCGAGAACGCTTGGGCGGGCCTGACAAAGGCTGGCTACCTCTCGCTCGACCTCGGCAAGATGCGCGCCGGCAAGGAGTACGACTGCGACAGCCTCCGAGACGACTGCACCCAAGGCGGCGGCCGGCGCCCTCCGCTGCTGCCGTCTGCGTTCGCGGCGGAGCTGGAGTCGAAGAGCTTCACCAACGGCAAGGACGACAAGCCGCTGGTGAAGCAGCTGTACGAGGCCGCCTTCGAGGAGCAGTTTGGCAAGGCGACCGCGCTGCACTACGCCAACCTCGGCTGGGGCGACGCGGAGGCGGCGCAGCTGGCGGAGGTCCTCGCGAGCGGGGCAGCGCCGCGGCTCGAGACGCTCTTTCTCCGCGGCAACAAGATTGGCGACGAGGGCTGCAAGGCGCTGGCCGCCGCCCTCAAGGAGGGGGCAGCGCCGCGGCTCGAGTACCTCGATCCCTACGATAACGAGATTAACGACGAGGGCTGGAAGGCGCTGGCCGCCGCCCTCAAGGAGGGGGCCGCCCCGAGCTTGAAGGCGCGAGACGCCCCCCCTCGCCACACGCCCCTCCCCCGCCCAATGCTCATCGCACCTCCCCTCGCGTGCAGTACCTCGAGGTGGGCTACAAGAACAGGGAGCAGCCTGAGCTGGTGGCCGTGTGCGAGGAGCGCGGCATCAGGCTGCTCTGAGCCTCTCCAGCCCCGGCCGGGCGGCAAGGGCGCGGGTTCCTGCGGGACCGCCGCGCGAGCACGGCAGAGAGCAACAGACCCTGCGGCTACCCTGCGGCTGCGGAGCACGACGCACAGCGGCGGTGGGGGGGGGTGCGGGGGGGGGGGGGGGGTCTGCGTCTCTCGGGCGCGCTTCGTACGCTTGGGACAAGAGCGTCGGAGCGGGCAAGTTGGCGGGGGAGGGGGAAGTGGGGTCAGGGTCTGGTTGGGCGAAAGACACACGGGAGACAATCGGGGGAATAGATGATGCAAACCGGGGACATCGATGGCCATTCGGATTGGTGTGTTGCACGTGATAGTGCACGTGTGACTGTGAGCACCACGCCGCGGGGGGTCCGGGGAAAGCGGTTTGGGGAGGGAATGTTGACAGGAGCTCCAATCCCTCCTCTGGGCTGTCTGTTTTATTTCTTTCTTTCTTTGCGAATAGGCAGGAGCGAGTTCGCGCTGCGTTCGTTAGGCTCAGACGGCACATCCCCACATTTCTTGTTGGCATCTAAAAATCTCAAGTTCGCGCTGCCTAGCTCAGTACACGGCGAGTTCGCGCTGTGCGGGAGTGCGGCCCCTGCACCGCGAGGCTCTTGGCGGAGATTTTCGAGGGGAGGAGGACAGGGTCCACACCTGCACGAGCAGGATTCATACATACATACAGAGAGAGACAACCCCCTCTCTCTTTTCTCCCAGTAAGCTAAACGTACGTACGTACATACAGGATTTTGGAAGGACGATCAAACAATACGAAAGGGAGGGATGGTGGCTCACTGTCTTCTTGTTTTCCAGTCGTAAAGAAAGAAAGAAAGAAAACAGACAACCCAAGGGAGGGATGGGAGGACGGTACGCCGCCACCACACAGGGATTTTAGGGGAGAAGTGTGGTGTAAAGAAAGAAAGAAAACAGGCAAACCCAGACGAGGGATGGGGGAGGAGGACCGGGTCCCCACCTGCACGAGCAGAAGTGTGGTGTAAAAGAAAGAAAGAAAGAAAACAGACAACCCAAGGGAGGGATGGGAGGACGGCACGCCGCCACCACACAGGGATTTTAAGGAGAGGAGTCCCGTTCGTGCGAAGCATCGAAAAATTCTTTTAAAAATCCGTCTTGTCCTTTCGCCTGCGGAAACGACCAGGGCTCCCTAGATGTCACCCCGGAAGCTCCGAAGAGTTGCCACCTCCAGTGGTCACCTGCACGGCGCATCTTCGCTATGCCAGAGACCCAAGCTATACGGCGCCGGACTGGGTCCCCCCCCACCCCCCCCGCCCCCGCCCCCCGCCGCGCGCCCCCTCCGTCCCGGCCTTACGCACATGGCATTCACAACGCCTTGCACCCGGCCCGCGGCCGGCTCCGCCTCGTCACCACCCCCCCTGACCGCCCTGCAGCCCCTGCGCAGGCGTCGAAGTCTTCGAGCGACGCGTCGGGTGTGGGCTGCTTCCTTGCCCCGTCACCCGCCGCCCTCTCGCCGGCCGCCTCACCGCGCACGGATCGCTCGCCTGCTCGCCGCCGCCGCCGCGTGTCCCCGCGCCGCCAAGCTTGCCCCCTCTCCTGACACGCACCCCGCGCAGACGGCGCTCCGGGACAGACGGAGCAGCGACCGCGCACCGGTCGCTGCTCCGCCCCTCCGTCGCGCGCGCCGCGTGCGCGCTGCCGCCGCCGCCGCCGCCGCTGCCGCCGCTCCGTCCTTCCCTCAGTGTGTCTCATGAGGGTATGTGGTGTGTGCGCGCGCAGCGTGTGCACGGCGGGAATCCACACCCCTGCCCTCAGTCGCGCGCACGCGTGCGCCGCGCGCCGCCGCCGCCGCCGCCGCCC